TCTACCTTACAGTAGTTCCATCTATCTCACATTTATTCAATTTATTTATGAGAAGGTCATGTGTGACCTTGTCAAAAAGCCTTGCTGAAATTCATATATCTATATCCACAGCATTCATTTCATCCACCCAAATAATTACTTTTTCAAAGAAGGAGAATGCATTTGTTTGACCTGATTTGTTCTTAGTAAGTCCATGCTGCGTGCTTGTGATCTGCCTTTCCTCCTCCTCTGCCATGGTCCTCAGAGTCACTAAAATACTAAAAGGAGGTGAAGGTTATGTTTTGGCTCAAGCTGTGGGAGTTATGTATCAGAAATACTCAGGAGACAAATGGGTCAGGGAGAAAATGTGTTGCTTCTTTAATTACCTGAGTGTCTAGCTGTGTCAGTTCAGGTTTTAAGAAGTATCTAGTTCATGTTCAGATCTAAAAATATGCATCTAGGCTCCTGGAGTGGAACCTACACAGAATTTATGCACTGACATCTAAAAGCCATGCTTAATCCCTTGGGGGTCTGGGAGTCCAGAAGTGTCTAAGGTTTTGTCAGAAAAAATGTCAGTTGGGGATCTGAAGCTCTGTTACCTTGTATGTTGAGAACTGGTACTATCTTGGCTAAGCTGAACATCTCTGTATTTAAGTCCCATCAAAGGACCTAATTTGGTGGGTGTGCTCAGAGCATTAACACACACCACCACCTTTGAATTCAGCATGCAGCACAACAGTCACAATTATTTAGTTTAAAAACATGGCTTATACGAAGAGTATAAGCTCCTTTAGAACAGGCAGTATCTCTATCTATAATGTGTATGGTGCCTTGTTTATGGGGACCCTGATCTTCTGTGAGGCCCTAGACCAGCACTTCCCAAGCTTCCCAAATGGGGTTGCACCATCAGAGGATGAGATTGCAATAAATGTGCCCCATGAGATTTCTGTGCCCGGTGCTGCAGCCAGGCTGGACCAACTTGGGGCAGGAGCCACCTCTGTGGCCCAACAGGTGGAACCCATTATGGGAGGGAGTGCTCCACCACCATGGCCACCATGGTGAGGCACAGCAGTGGCACAGAGTTGTGCCCACTCTGCTGCCAGGCATGCAGAAGACACCTCACCTTGACAGCCATGGCAACATGGCGCTCCCTCCCTCCCACGCCTGGTCCTGCCCACTAGGAGAGGGCAGCAGGGCGGGGAGCCCCAAACCTGCAGCAGGAAGCCCACATCCTCCCCCCACCACAGGCTCCACTCCGGCAGTGCTGCCTGCAAGGGAGGGATGGGGTGGAGTGGGGAGGGGGAGTCTGGGTCTGCATGCTGTTCCAGCCACAGCAGCTGCCACATCTCACAGGTGGCAACCAGGGCTTGGGCACTGCTGCAGGAGGGGATCAGGGGACTGTGGGCTCTGGCCCTGGGGCACCTGGAGGGCGTGGGGGGCTGTGGGTGAGGAGTGAGGGGCACCTGAGGTTGTGGGGGGCTGTGGTTTGGGAGTGACGGGCCATGCTCATCATGTTAAGGAAATGGGGTCATAAATGGGGTCACGCTAAGGAAAAGTTTGGGAATCACTGACCTAGACACTTCTGAACTACATATGTAATTACATTATACACTAGAAATACACTTTTTATCTTAATTTTAACCCTGGTATCTACTCACCAATCCAGCAAGAGCATTGAAGCTACATCTGTCTTGTATAAGGCAGTGCTTTACAGATACCCCAAGTTAATTCTGCATGTACTGAAACCAAAATCAGTACAGCTATGTTTGTGTGATGCTATCCTTGGGCTAGAAGCTTGGGACCACTGCGATATTAACATCACTATACTTCTTCAGAGCTAACAATTGTGAGGCTAGCTTGGGCTATTTTTGCACAAGGCTGCCTTGCACTGAATCAACATAGGTTCAGTATTTCTATACTTCTTCCCTTATTTAATGCATTGCATGCTCTGATTTTCTCCTGAAAGCTCTCCCAGCCTTTCTCTTGATTGTTGTTTTCAGAATCTGCCCTGACAATTTAGATATTTTGTTCCCAGACTAATTGATTTCTCACTTGTCTTTGTTGAGCTGCATTTGCCCTCCTTTAGCCTAATTACCTAACTGATCAAAATCCAGCTGACTGTTCCTGCGTTATCCTTTGCCTCAGATTTTAGAATCATTAGTAACCTTGGCCATCTTGTTTTCAATACCCTCATCCAAATGATTTATACAAAATGTTATGAATAGCAACAGGCCAAAAATTGGACCCGTGGGGCACTTAACTCATAATCATTTTCCAAACTGAGGACTGTGCATCTGTGGCTACCCTTCATTTCTAAAGTATTTTTGGTCCGCAACGAGAACACATGTAGCCAAGAAGCTCTGGGGTTGAGTATTTTAACTATAAGCAATACTAGAAAATACATTAGTCAATGGATCCAGCTGCTAGCACCTAGGGATGATTTTCCTAGCATTTTGGATGTGCATTTTACATATGGTATATTCATCTAATGTTTAGAAAATGAATCCCACCAATGGCTATGCTACATAGTTAACAAAAGTAATAAGAGGAAGGAAGGAGAATGGCAGTGTTTAAAAGAATGGAAACGTTTCTCAGAAAAACAGTACTGTTAGAGGGCACAGAGAATTTGAATAGGAAACGCTAATTTTAGCAGCATAGTTATTAATAACCTATACATGACCCATTTAAGCAGATAAAGCTCAGCCTGTCAGCTGAGATTTGAAGAGGTTCCACAAGTAAAGGGTATAGAAGCAGAACCATTTCAATCCTGTAGTAACCACCAGGGGGACTAAGGCTAGGGACAGACATTCAAAAAGCCTGAGCCTGAATTAATTCAATCTTTTCAGGTTAGTCATGGTCAGGGCGGCTAGAGTCTGGAACCAGCTTCCAAGTGAGGTGGTGCAGGCTCCCACCCTGGGGGTTTTTAAGAGGAGGTTGGATGAACACCTTGCTGGGGTCATTTGACCCCAGTGCTCTTCCTGCCATAGCAGGGGGTCGGACTAGATGATCTGCTCAGGTCCCTTCCGACCCTAGAAACTATGAAACTATGAAATGTGCACATGTAGACATACCCTGTATGTTACCAAGAAGACCGTGCAGTTAACAATTGTAAATGTCAGGAAGATAGTTTAAATAACTGGGAGTATTAATTAGCAATCACGATATGATAAGAAAGGAAATTAAAGGCATGGGTACAAGCAGAAATGTCTGTTACTTTATTCTGAGAGAACTTCTGTTGAATAAAATCTAATAGGGAATTGAAGGAGTCTCTGAAGAAACAGGTATAGTAAGAACAGTGAAATTCCAACTGCTGTAGTGGGTGGGGCATGTAGCTAGAGTAATGGAAAACAAACCAGGTAAGCATCCCTTGGAAAAACATTTCTACGTGAGCATTCTTTGCATAATCATTATGATATATGGAGTAACTGCACAAGGGATTGCTTGTTGGCTAAACAAGATGGAGGATTAATAATGAACAAGACCTAAGAATTCTTATTGTGAATTATAAGCAACAGGAAAAATATGCCCTTGACTGAAAGAAGTAGGGATAAATTGAGAGAGTATCCAAGAACCATTCTGGTGTGTAGTATCAGGGAAGAGTAGTACTATTGCTTCATATAATGCATCACAATATCATTACTTTCTTTTAATCCAGTTTCACTCTAGGCATTGTCCCAAGTCTTATAGTATTAAAATAACTAGGCTAGTGAATCAGTGAACTTCAGGTTTAGGGATAGTCTTGGACCAGATGATCTCCAGCAGCCCTGATTTGACCTAACTAAACCTTGCATCATCTTTGCAACATAGGTAGTAACTGCAGAGGGTCCTGTGAGGCCGAGTGTTTTAAAGTGCTTTGAATATGTAAACATATAGACTGTTTATGGACATGAAAAAAAATAGCACTTTACTTTCAGCTTGGAATGCTCCCATGCTGAGCACAGCACATGCCCAAAAGAGGCATCAGGTTAGTTTGACCAGGCTTGCCCAATGTCTGTATACATCAGGCGCTTCACCAGGGCTTTTTGGCACTTTTATCTAATAACTGATTTTATCTAATAACTGATTGAATCAGTTATTAAATAAAAGTGCCAAAAAGTCCCTCTTAGCCACCTGATCTATACAGATGCTGAGGAGCTGGGTCAAACTAGTGCATTTTCCCTTCTGGTAAAGCACTGTTTGTTTGTTTTACACATCTGTCAGTGCCCATAAGTACTAATTTGTTCTTGGCAGTAGTATTTATTCCCATTTTCCTGTAAGTAAACTGAGGGATGGGGGCTTATTAATTTTGTAGGAAGTTTCAGGATGTTACTGCCAGAACCAAAACTAGAATTCCAGTTTCCATGATTCTAATCTGGCCCCACTCGAGGTGCCCCCTCCTGCATATTTATTAGTTCCTAGATGTTTCAAATTGTGTATATATTAACTTACATCATTGTACTTATTACCTGTAAAGGAGAAGGTGTGGATTTAACTGCTAGCATTAACTATGTCTGTGGCACTCACAGTCCCCTGCAGTGGCCTCTCATAAAATAAAACCACATTTTAATCTTGATTTTCCTCTTTTTTTCTTTAGAGTTAAACTTCTTCAGAACTAAAAATTATTATGCAGTCCTCTGAGACAGACCTCCTCCCACATTACCTTTGATTCTGAATGTTATTTGCATCCAACCTTAAACTCATGCCATAGCTTTGATTTTAGAAAGAGAAATTGACATTGTATGAGGACACATAAGCCAAAGATCTTTGTTTCCTCTTCATTACTTAAACTTTTCAATGTCCAACATCAGATCTATCCAGATGGTGATGCTGGAATAGAGGAGTGTGCAGAAAGCACACTCACCTCCACTGTGTGATGTCAGTTTGTTATGTTACTGGGATGGAGTCCAGTGCAAAAGCTCAGTGCAGGATTAGTTTCTCTGAAAGTTTACATTAATGTTCAGCTGTTTTAAATGTTAAATGTAGCAAAAAGAACAAAAATTATTAACGGCCAGTGTGCTAATTTGTTTCCATTTCTTTAACAGTGAAATTCGAAATGTTAGGAACCTAAGTTACATAGATCCAGATGCCTTTAAGAACCTCCCACTTTTAAAATACCTGTAAGTATTTGACACTTAATGCCTACAGATTATCTATCTTAATGGTGCACTACTACAATGTGGTGGGGGTTTTCCCCCTTTCAGAACTGGATGGAATTTCCCCTCTCCCATATTATTTTAATACTAGGTAACTAGCTAAGCTAGGGCTAGGCAAGACAAGGGAAACAATCTGTTTTAGCCTGGATGTTCCAGCTTCTCAGGACCCACCTTTGGAGCAGTGGGGGTGGGTCAGGCTAGAATTAGACTAGGACTGTGAGTCCCTTCACCCCAGAAGTCCAAGCCCTCATATAAGAGACTGGATAGGGTGATCTCTGGCACAAAATTTCATGAAGTTTTTCATGTCCTATGTTTGTTTTTCACTACAGTAATTACATCAATAAGCTTGACCTGCTCTTATTAAAAGGGGTAGATGTCTGTACTTAATATTCAGGACCTCCTATAGACTTCTAGTCAATTAAATTGTGGGAGGGGAGCATTTGTAGAAGAGTTTGAAAGGTGCCATGAAGGAGGCTTTACAAACATTAGTATGCCCTTTTTTAATTTTAATTTTTCTTCTATTGCATTTGCTTTTCTTGTCTGTTGTATTCTTTTAGAGGTTTCAAGGATGTTAAATCTAAACTCACAAATTATTAGACTTGATGCAGGTATTACCAGATGAAATTCTATGGGAGATATTATGCACATGATTAAAATGGGCTCTTAATAAATCTACTGGAAAGATTAGGGAGAAAAATACAATATAATACAGTATTTATCCATTAAGTATATGAATTTACATACAGTTTTTAAGAATGGCCTTAGACCATTTCATTGTTAGACTCAGTTTCTTGTCAGTTCCATTACAAAAATGGGTCTTTAGAAGTCTTCCTTTATCCATGGCATCTTCTAAGACATGAGGGTAACCAGAATTTAAGATTTTAATGAGGAAAAGAAAAGAAGAAAACAGACCTTACAATTCTGAGTGGAGGATTGAAATGCAGGAAAGAGGAGAAAATGAATTTCCAGGTTTGTTTTGTATGTTAGGGAACAATAAACTTGGACACAAGCACAATTTTATTTCTATTGCAAGTTGCTTTTAGAGTAATGCTTTCATTCTGAAGGAGACCAATAGTAAGAGAAAATAACTATTTCTGCATAACTGAGGGAGAGCTAGATATCTGGTTTCTGTCCTTTCAAAGTAATATTTTAAACAATTTTAGCAATAATGAATAGCAGAATATTATGTGTCTCTACTTAGAAATGTAAAGCAGAAAGCTACTTTAAGAAATCATGTAGTCCAACCCCCTGCTCTAAGGTATGATGAAGTATAGCATCCTAGACAGATGTTCATTTAATCTGTTCTTAAAAATCTCCAGTGAAAGAGATTTAGATAACATATTCCAGTGTTTCACGACCCTAATAGTTAGCAGAGCTTCCCTCAGATTCAACTTAAAACTGCTCAGCTGCAAAATAGTCTTATTTCTTCTTGTCCCTGCCCCCCAGGTGATCATGAAGAACAATTGTTCACTGTTTTTATACCTTATTCTTTTTCTGCCATATGGAAAACTATTTTCGTGTCCCCCATTCAATCTACACTTTTCTAGGTTAAGTAGTGCTATGGCAAAAGATTGAAGAAATTGGGTTTATTGTTTTTTTAAGCCTCTTATTCATGTTGCTTTCTTTTGGATTCTATCTAATTTGTCTACATCTTGCTTAAAGCACACTATCCAAAACTGGAGAGGTAGTTCAGCTGAAGTTTCACCAGCACTGTGCACTGTAGAGTAAGTACTACTTATGTCTTACAGCCCAGCTGGAAATACATTCCAAAATATTTGCCTCTTTTGCAACAGCATCCCATTGTTGACTTCTATTCAGTCTGTGATTCACTATAAAACACAAATTATTTTCTGCTGTATTGCATTGTGGATTTGTGTAGTTGATTTCTCCTCCATAAGTGTAGCACTTTGCATTTAGATGTATAGAATTTTATTTTATTGCCTGGAGCTGTTTACATGGTTCAAGAAATAGAAGCAACAGAGATTATATTTTTCCCGCAACAGATGAAAGAAGTTTGTATGATTTAACAATATTTTCCTTTGGCTATTCTGGATAGTAAAACCACTTGTTTTAATATTTTCAATACAGAAGTCCCCTTAATAGTCCAGTTGGGCTCCATACATATAGAGAGCCCTGAACAGCTCATACTCTGAGAATGTGAGTGAGAAAGATAAGAGAAGATAGAAAGAGAATGCATACAGAAGATATAACAAGATTAATTGCTTATTAGGGATGTTACCTAGGGATATACAAATGACAGTTACTTTAGTTGGGAAGCTTTGAAACCATTCAGTATTTTGGTAGGGTAAGGATAAGGGCCTGGGCTTCAAATTATCTTAAATAATGAAAATGTTTGAGAGCTGTTGGATACAAGGTGGTGAAATATCCCAAACCAGCCCAAAATTTAAAAAATAAATTGTTTCATGGAAACTGGCTCCAAACACTGCAAAATACATTTGTGTTTAGCTTAAAGAAGACACATTAAATTGTATGATCATAAACAGAAGAGTTCAGTCTCTGTATGTCAGGCTCTCTTTGCCAGGTTTGCTCTCTCAAGGACTCTCTCAGGCTTTAGTTTTCACTTCAGCATGCCCTGTGTCTTTGGAACGCAGAGCTTAGTACTTGATTCACTGTGGCAGACGAATGCCTTAATGGTGATGGATCTCCATGAGGGGGGCCCTGGTCTGTCAAAGAGCTTGTACACTGGAATGCCTCTACACTAAATCCCCTTGCAAACTTGGGCATGGAGACATGCTGGGGACAGGGTTAAAGGGCTCCTGCCAGCCAGACTCCACTATCTTTCCCTGGAGGTTCCCTCCACCAAAACCAAAATACAAAGAAAAGCTGCTTTTCTCCTGCCTTCCTTGTATCAGTCCATCGCAGCAGTTCATCTCAGAGAATTGGGCACTCTGTTCTCCCAGAACACATCTCTCCACCTCTTTCTTCTTTCTGTATATTCCAAACATGGCCCATCCTCTTAATTCCAGAACATATACAGTCACTCTCTGTCCCTTCTATGTGTCACTTCTCTGTCACACTATCCCAAAGGCTTGGAAGAGCCTACTCTCTGCTTTAAGAACTTTTTCTCCCCTACCTTGTCTTCCTATCTCAACTCCCAGGATATCTTCCTCTGCAGACCTGTGTAACTCTCTCATACTGCTCAAAGTTCACCACCTCTTGTGGACTCTAATTCACTTAAATTCTCGTTGCTTTTCTGATCCAGTCATGCCACAGTGTTGGAGCTGAATCGTGCAAAACTTCTGTTGACTCAGGTCAAAGCAAGTTTGGGTGCTTTGCCTCAAGAGAAAATCTTTGCAGTTTATATCCCTAGAATCCCACGCTGATTTGCATAGTGTTCTCCCAGCCCTGGGTTTGGATAAAGTGACATAAAGTAAGCCCTTCTGGACATGTGGAGTGTCCAGGAAGTGTGGCATTCCAGGATACAGTATGGATGAGGAACTTGTGGGTTAGCTGAACAGGAATTTTTTAAAGAAAGGCAAATGATATATATAATTTGAAGAGGCCAAGCAAGATCGTTGCAGGGAAGACAGTATTGCATGAATATGCTTGACTATGGAGGTGAAGAACATATTTAAAAAAGCAAAGGAAGAAGGAGAAGATTTGTACTTAAAATTGCTTAACTGCAGAGCTACATCACTGCAATGTGGAAAGTCACCAGCATAATTTCTCTACAACAGGCATACAAAAACTCAAGTACCAGAGACGGGGCAAAAACAAAGGGTGACAAATGAGTTTGTGACACTAAAGAAAAGACTGGGAAAGTAAAATCAGATGCAGCATTACAACAAAGGGGCAAGACCACTTTCACAGTTAAAAAAATAATGATTCAGTGCAAATTTGACAAGATGGACAATTTCCAGTTAAAGCTAAAGTAATCAAAGAGTAGTCACCTCCATCATATTCTGTGATAACTGATGAAGGCCAAATCTTAAGAAGAAATCACAAACATCTGTTCAATATTCCTGACAATGAGGATGATATGAGTGAAATAAAAACAGTGGGTGCCTATAAACATGCTCAGGGGAGGAGGGGCGTTTTAATTAAAGCGCTTCCGGAAGAGCCACTCTTATTAAAACACTGCAACGTCATATGTATTAAGCCCCAGTGTGTTTAAAAATGGCCACAGGCTGCTTTAACTAAAGCTCATTTGATGAGCTTTAGTTAAAGCGCCCAAGAGACCATTTTTAAACCCACCGGAGCTTATACATGTCATGCTGTGGCAATGCTAGTGCGCAGAGCAGACTCGATTACTTGAGTCTACCCCAGTGCATTCTAATTAGACTGCATTGGATCACGTATATAGGCACCCAGAGGCACCGGTTGAAACCTGTTTATAAGCTGACCTAGAACCTGACCCAGAGAGTGACCTTTCAAATACATACAAGGACATAGAGAAAGAAGGCCTATGATATAGAAGATTTCTGAAACAGCCAAAGAAATGGATTGAGACATGTTAGTTTGAGTTTGTAATTGTTGTTTTCTTAATGTTATTAGTCTAGTTAGGATTTAATAAAAAAGGAAGATGCAATATGGATTAAGTCCCTCTGGACACACAGTATCCAGGAAGTGTGGTATTCCAGGAGGCCGGGAGGAACTACCAGATAGTAAAACAGGAACAGGCCAGCCACAAGACCCTTGCAGGGGCAAGAGTAAAAATTGTTACCTCTTTACTGTAAATAGATGTATATACCATTCTGTGTGTAATAAAGGCTTGATTCCACTTCAAAAACCTCAAGATACCACAGATAACTTGTTTCTATGTGTGTTGAGTTTTTCCATTTAACAGTGGAGAGCTTGAAAGAGCCACCCTGCTCTGCTGAAAGCTCTGTCCATTCCATGTTTATTGCGTAGCTAAAGTTGATTTTTCTCTCTTATTTTTTTCTTTTTGATCCCTTGTGTTAGTGGGATTTTCAACACTGGACTCAGAGTATTTCCTGACCTCACCAAAATCTATTCATCCGATGTGAACTTTTTACTGTAAGTATCTGCACTGAAGAGTTGGTTAGAACAGCACTACACTTACATACCAAACAATCCCACAGTGGATCATCTCCCTTTTAGAGGGAGGTATCAAGTAACTAGCAAAGTGAAGTCTCTTGGAAATCTGGCAAGAGTCTCTCTCTTAGCTGGCTATCTCTGCTCTTCTGCTTCCAGATCCCTAAAAAAGAAAAAGGCAAGAGAATTATGGAAAACATGGAGGGGAAATGTTAACATAACACCTTCAAACCTTTTTCTTAAAAGAAAAAATCCAGTTTAGGCTTAGCTCAAAGTCTCAGTGAAGATTTTCATGTAGGGGAAGGTTTATTTTATCCAAACAAGTTGCCCTGCACAATTTATGTTTAAATTTAAGGGGGGAAATAGAAGAAAGGAGTGCAAGAAGCAAACCTGGAAAACTAGGAAAGGTAGTTGAGCTTGTAAATGCCTTGTTGAAGAGTTTGGTTTCATGCCCACTGGTGGCAGCAGTCCTCAACTGCTAAGGATACCAGCTGTTCTTAACAGACCTCTTAATACTCCTGAGGGATTAGTCAAGTCGCTAAGACGAAGTGCTGTTAGGTAAACAAAACTTTCCGAAATACTGTAATTGAAAGTACAGATCTATGCTGAAAGGTGTCTTTAAAAGTGACATAATATGTTTTCAGTTTGTTCTTTGCCAGTGGTTTCAGTTAAAATTTGCCATTTTTTTACATAAAAATAAGTTTATATAATGGCCCTGCATACTTAATTAGGGATATCCTTTTGGTTTCCCAAGTATGAAGAAAATAATTTGCACTCAAAGTTTATCAGTTTTGTGGATGATGAAAAGGATATGCTTGCATCCATCTGCTTCTGTGTCTATACCAGCCTTGAATGCTTAACAGGAGTTTAAAATACAGCAAGTACTTAGTTAATAGGCAGATTCAGAGAGAATACACCCAAGAATTTATCTTTTCTAGAGAGTTGACCCAATTAGCTAACTCAGTATAAAAGTTATCATAGAAGACACAACTGATATTCAATGCAATTTATTCTCAAGTAAAGACAAAATTAGGAGGATGGAATGTGTTTAGTAAAAAGATGCCACTTTTGCTTAATGACTTTCTACATTATAATTTTACTTCACTAACACTTGAAAAAAGAACAGAACATGTTAGTGCATATTTTTCTCATTCATAGTTTTAAATGTCCATAACTTTAAAGGGCTGAAAATCTTTTTTCCTCCAAAAAGTTGCCTTGAATTTTAGATTTTGGTAAGGCTTATAAATGAGCTTTTTTTTTTACATTTTTTCATAGCCATTTTAAAGCAGGTAAGGAAATTTTCTGATTGAGACCTGTCTAGAGAGGGAAAATGTTTTAGATCCATGCTGAAATAACTAAAAAGCAGCTGAACTAATTTACACAAACTTTCTGAAAAGAAACATAGCTAAAATTACTTTAGGGAGTGGAAGTAGTAGCAGCATATATCACCCCAAAATGATATTTGAGAAAAAATTATTAGCAGTAGAAGAATTTTAGAATCAGTGTGATTGCAAAGTTAAATGTTAGCTTGTATGCATGAAATAAGGGGTAATGAAACTGAACCTGCCCCAGAAGGGGCCAAAGGCTAGAGTTTCTTAGTCTTTGGAGCTCTCAAGATGATCAGAAAAGATATCCTTATTACATCACACCTCACTTACTAATTAAAAAGAACAGTGTTGGCAGAATCATTTATTAGGTGGAACCCAACAGGAGGAACGGGAGGGCATAAATGGAACAGCTTGCTTTCTAAGTCCTCCTGAAACAGACACCACCTATTTCCTCCTGTCTTTAAACTCAGAGGTAGTGGATAAGTTTCCCTTCCCTCGTTCTCTGTGATCTTTCTAGCATTATGGTACTTAGGTCTGTGATATGAGAAGCTCTGAGACAGGTCTGTGGAGATGACCAGTGCAAAGGATTTGGGAAAGTGATGGACTGCGGGACAACCATTTGGCCAAGTTGAATCTTTGGACTAGATGACCCAAAATGTGTTCTTTTCACTTGCTAGGACTCTGTAATTCAGGATTAACAGTTAATCTTTTCCTTTGCACTATGTGAAATGTAGATATCTCAAGAAGGCTAAAATCTGTTTGTGAGTTTTATCTCTTGTTATGATAGTGTTTATAAAAGAATAGAATCTCAGCTTTAAGTTAACTTGCAATAAATTTGTTAAGATTATGATGATTTATTTTATTTAGCTATTTGCTAATGCCTTGGCTTATGAAAGTAAGTATATGGCTGTGCTATTATCCAGTAGAATCACACAGGGTAGGCACACTTTTGCGAACAATATAAGTCCTAACTATTTTATAAAAACAATCAGCAGTAGAAGTATTAGGGGTACATATACTTTCTGGCTCACATATACTTTCTGAAGGCACTTGATTACATTCCAAGGGCCAAAAAAATATTCAGGTACCCATATATCTTGCATTTTATGCAAGATACCCATATTTTGCATTTTATTGTGCTGTTTATCAGTGAACTGCTGAACAATGGAAAACGTAAACTAGGTCTGTTCTGCTGTACAGCTGTTTTATGGTGATGTTAAGTCTTTTGTCTCCTTTTCCAGTGAAATTGCAGATAATCCTTTTCTGACTTCAGTGCCTGCAAATGCTTTCCATGGGCTGTGCAATGAATCCCTTACACTGTAAGTCTTTCCTTTTTAAGTCATGTGACAGTCAGATTGCCTGTGCTTACCTAGCTAATCACTAGCTAATCACTATAACTTATGAAATAACAGTTCCAGAAAGAGCACACATCAACTGCAGATGCTTCCTTAGCCCTTTCAAAGGGTATTAAACCTGAAAGCTTGCTAAGAAAACAATTTCCAACTGTTTAAGTTGGTCTAATAAAAGATATCAGATTCACCCAAATAACCTTGTCTTCCTCATCCATAGCAGTTTTCTTAAGAGAGACATTGTGGTCATGCATTATCCATAGCCTGGTTTACATATTTCCTTTCCTAGTGACAGTGGCTTGGGTTATGGCTGTCTTCCTCTAAAATAACTCTTTCAATAATAATTGTAATAGCAGAAATGACTGGACTGAAGTTTGGCAGAAATAACATTAGGAAATGATACAGAAAGGAACCACAGAGGGAAGAGATTGTTATGAGTACTTCTGAAATGTTGCAGCACAGGTAGAACTAAGTGCTACCACCCTTTGCAGTAATGTTGGTAGAAGTTAGTTGGCTTTCTCCTTATTGTGGATATAGTTACTTTGCAAGATGATAATGACAGTCCAGGGAGAACTGCATTTGAGAATAACATGATTAATTTAAATGGTACAGAGCCAGTCTGAGCCACAGAGAACAACACCTAGAGATAGGAAAGCAAGGGAGTGTTGTAATGCTTTGGGGCTGTTCCTAGCTGGGGAGCAGAGCACTGATCAAGATTTTGCAAATTCAGTCAGATCTTTTCTTTTCTTTTTCTTATTTTTAAAGCAAGCTATCCTTCAGTCTAGCTTAATCCTTCGATCTTTGCACAATTTTTTTCCTTTGTTCAAAAAGGAAATGTCAGGAGACTTGCTGCACTGGCTCACAAGGGTGAGTGAATTATGTGCTGTAGCCCAGCTGCTGCTCCCTTAGAGCATTCATAGTTACTTTGTCTTTTGGAGGGAAGGCAAAATCTAGCACATGTTCCAAGTACTGCCCTGCATTCAGTAGTCGGTGATGCTGCTGGGCATTCATTAGACCAAGATTAAAATTACTCTATCCAGATATATGCTGCTGCCCTTGAAAAGATAAAACATAGGTCTTCAAGAATCTGTTTATTACAGACTAATTTAATTTCTTTCTTTGCAGAAAACTCTACAATAATGGCTTCACTAGGGTCCAAGCCCATGCTTTTAATGGAACAAAGCTGGATGCTGTGTAAGTACATTCTATGAATCATTCATCAATTTAGCCACATGAAGGGAGCATAAAATCCTCAGCATATCTTCAATTTTTGTCTTTTTGACTGTGGGATATGACAGAAGCCGTAAGAATAAAAACAGGAGATTACAATATGCGAAGCACAAAACTGTGCCAGGGATATCAAACTGGATAAAGAGAAGTAGCTGGCTATGTTAATCTGAAGTCAGGAACAAGGCAGGGTAAATTTGCACCTTATAGAACAGGGCGGGCAATTATTTTGGCTCAAGAACCGCTTAACTAGTTTTGGTGAGCTGTCGAGGGCTGCAAGGGTAGCCTTGCCCCTTGACAGGTGCCCTGCCCCCTGGTCACCATCTTGGGGCTGGAAGTCCTGCCCCCTGACCTTTGCCACTGGAAGTCTCTCCCCTTGCTCCCAGAAGTACTCCTTTTGGGAAGGGGGTTTAACATCTTGGAAATGGAAAAAAAACAACCTATATACTAAAAGTCAAACATTGACAATAGCATATTTTAATT